GATGACCATTCGAGTTGAGTTGGAAGTTCATGTGAAGTCCTGGAAACAAGAAAAAAATGAAGATCCACGCTTCCCTAACTCAAAAAGTCATTAAAAACCGAGGGTAGCTTGTATGGAGACTTTTGTTCCTCGTGCGCTAAAACGCCGAATTAAATTTTTTATCTATACTTAACAGGAAAAAAGTTGCCTCCTTCGCGATATATAGGCAAATAAAGAATGGGTGCTATCATTTCGGGACAAAACAGGTGAAAATTTAGGTCGAAAAAAGTGTTTATAGACAAGGCATTTGAATTTAGCCAAAATCTGACTTGACCACGGGAATGCGCGCATAAAAGCACCCCTAGGGCAGTTTTTATACGGAGCAGTCTCATTTGCTTCCTGGATGTGCAGGGCCAAACATGGCCAAAAGTGGTGATTTTGGCCGTCCAAGGTGTCCATTTTCCGCGAAAATGGCGTTTTTTGGCGTCACTAAAAAAATCATTGCGAAGCAACTACTGGAGATATGCTTGTAAAACTTTGGGAGCGGTCGTGCGAACACATGCGCCAAGTTTTCTGCTAAAGTCTGCAGGCCAGATCTGCCGGGCGGCACATAAAACCGGAAAAAACCACCTAAAAAAAGAGCATGCCAAACAAAGTCTCACATTTCGCTGAATAACTTTTGATCTAGAAGAGTTAGACAAATTCTGATTGCGGGAACGGCTCCGCCGTGTGTTTTTACATATGTCTATGTCCCGTAGATAAAAAGTACATGTTGCAAAAAAAGTACATGTTGTACATAAATCTACCTTTGATATTCGGATTCCCCGTGAAAAACTACGCCTAGGCCGCAGGGTTACAAAGACGAGTCATTGCACTTATGCCCTTTTATAGACGCTTTTAGAAATCGGCCAAAACAGTATTTATTAATTTAGACAGTGTTCCGCTGACATGTCGCATGCTGCGATATGTCCACGTGAAAGAGCACCGAAAAGCACCCCTAGAACACCCTTTCATACCCGTTCTAACGGTTCTC